TGAGTCCTTCCTCTTTCGAAGCCCACAACTTCCCACCCACCCAGACTTTCCCAGCCTGTGGGCCCCACCCATTACTGCCTCTTCCCTCCAGAAGAGTTTCACTGCCGCTTTCCGGCCTGTGGACCAGGGTGCTGACACCCACCCCCCACCCTTGGGGTGCTGAACTACTCTTCCATCATCCCCAGCAGCCATGTGGTAGAGCCCTTCTAGGATTCTGCAGGCGAGACCACAGAGGGAGGGGTCACTCTTGGTTTCCATGCTCTAAGCCATTTCAGGCGTCAAGGAGCGATGGGTTCTGGAGTCCTTTCTCTGCAGGGCAGCGCTTCCGGGAACACCTACGCCCAATTCCACCGGGAGAAACGGGCTCCATGCGCCTGTTCCCCTGCCAGGTCCTTCTGTCCAAAAGGGCACAAAGACTTAATTGGTCCCCGTTTAACTACCAGGCCCCCCAAACAGAGTCAGATCTTACTCTCCCCCTTTCAGGTGGAGGCCCCAGAGACAAAAGCCGGCTAAATTCAGCTTCGCCTCATCGCTCTTCTGCCTGAGCCTCCCCGTCCAGACCCTCCTCTGATCGCTATGGGGCGGGATGTTAGAACTTGTCCTTCTCTCGCCTTGCAGCATCAAGCCAGAGGCAGGAAATAAATTCACACTCATTTACTTTGGCACATCCTGTACGCGCTTTAAACTTTTAATAATTGAATTAGCATTAAGGACCTTGGAGAACCTCTGCAGTTAAGCCATTTTACAGGCATCTCTCTAACACTGCTTGCAGCCTAGTAATTCGTCTCTTAGATTCCTTCTACTATGTTACCATTTTACGCGGATATATTAGTTCCTTTTAAGCGCCTTTACACGAGTGCATATACTCTGCCCGTTGTTGGCAATAAAGATTTGTTCCCCCCTCCCCCCCCGTTTCACTTCTCTGCCGGACCCTGGGCAACCAGAGGCAGCAAGTCCAAGGTGCTCGTTGACTTCGGTGGGATCCCCTCCCAGGGAAGGAGGTGGGATTCGGACCTGGGGTTGCTTCTGTGCTGAAGCACGGCGGGAACCGCTGCGGTTCCTCCAGGGTGAGGGTTAGGGTTTTGGCTACACGTTAAAATAACCGAGTGAACTCTCTCTTCTGGGGCTGCCAGCAGTTGCACCCAGCGGTGCCTTGGGGTGAAATAAATCCACCTGGTGGCAATGAGGCACCAGCAGAAGATGCCTCCGGAAGGGAGGAGGGGCAGCGGGTGCCAGGGGTCGGACTCCTCTCCAGCCCCTCCCCTTTCCAGGGACAAATCCTGTTCCGCTCCGTGGGACTGAGCACCAGAGAATGAAACAGCCGCCTCCTCGCCCCCCGCCCCGCCACTGGGGAAAATGACTTTCCCTGCTCAGTTTGGGGAGGGGAGGGGGAACGCCAATGATTGGGGGGGGTCTTCCCAGCTGGGCTTCCGGGCTCCTGCCAATCCATGGATGGGGGAGGAAACGGGAACTTCTTGCCAGGGTCTTCCTCAGGTTGGGGGGCAAGTTCAGTCTGAGGAGAAAGGAAGAGAACCAAGGGTGACCCCAAAGCAACCCCACACAGTGGGGGTCCTGCCTGCTCTGCCCCATGCTCCCACCATTTCTGATTTCTCCCTCATCCCAGAGGGATCGTGGTTCCTTGCAGCCCATCCCAGCTCGCCTGGCCTCCTCTCCCTCCCCCCCAAAATCTGGGCCTCAGCTTTGTTTCTCATTTGGAGAGGCCCTGCCAGCAAGCCAAGCTGCAGGAGGGGGCAGCTGATGAGTTCCAAAGGATGACTGGGCATTTCACCTGCCAGAAGGAAGGGGAGACGGAGGACCTTAGACAATCTAAGCCCTCACAAGCTGAAGTGCAGGGAAGGCAGACGGGGGGTGGGGGGTGGGCAGGGACACAGGGCTCTCTGGGCTGTGGTTATCCCACCTAATCCCCCCCAGGATGATCTCCCTCCCTCCCTCCTGCCTACCTCTGCTCACGGCCTGGAGAGAGAGAAGCCCCAGGGTGAGCCCCAGGATCATGAAGACCCCTCCCACTGCAATCGCTGAGCCAAACAGGAAGTTCTCCAGGAGCTTCGAGGCGATGGGGTCTTTGGGGACTGCAGAGAAAGCAGAAGGAGGGGGTCAGTTTGGGAGGGGGCTCTCAGGAGCCTGGGGGGAGGTGGGAGACTGTGGCTCACCCCAGTAGGCCATGCTGTCGAACTTGTCCCCTGGGCCCTTAACGGTGCAGCTGTAGACGTCATCCGCCTGGGGAGTCACCTCCAAGTAGGAGAATATCTGGAAGTCCAGCCCTTGGATGGGATAGACTTGGGTGGAGGAGACACCTGGGGTCAGCACCTGGTCGTGGAAGGCCCAGCTGATCTTGGCCACGGGAGGGAAGATGTTTCTCACAGAACAGACCAGGATGTTGGGCTGGCCCAGCTGGAGGGGCTGAAGGGTGAAGACCTCCACGTGGGGGATTCCTGGGGAAGAAGGCTGAGTAAGTTCCCCAGAGGGACTGGGGAGGACACCATGGGATTAAAACGTTTTTCCTGAGGGCCAGAATCACGAACAGAAGGAGAGGCCTCCTCCCTGCATAAAAGACCTGCCTTCAAACCCACAAGCCAGGCCCCCTCCCACAGGTACCTACCCAGGCCTTAGGACTGTCTAAGGTCCCCCAAAGGCATTAGGGGGCAAGCTGGGCCTCTACCACAGGAAGAACTTTTTCTGGGGCTCCCCTCCCCATTAATGGAATTTCCTCCCCAGAATCACTTGACTGGCACCCACATTTATTTATTAATCAATCACATTTATATGGCCGCCCATCTCTCAAAAAGCGACTCTGGGTGGCATGCAACAAACATTGGCATCCTGTTGGCACCAGGTAAGCACCTTTCAATTTCCCAGGGTTTAATGGCACTTTTAATTGCACTTTAATTTGTATTGTTACGGATTCTGAATCACACCCTGCTGCTGCTTCGTTTATGTGGTGTTTTCATCTTGCATTTCTTTTGATTTTTTCGCTTTTGTTTTTACTCAAATTGTGTGTGTGTGTTTTTCTAGCGTATTTTACTGTAAATCACCCAGTGACCTTTGGTGGTCTCAAATTGTTAATAAACAGATAAATAAAAGGGAGAAACATTAAGTAATGGAGGGGAGGTCCTTCCTGGATGGCGTGGCCCGGGGATATGGTGCGAGTCAAGGAGGAGGCATCTGCACTGGAGGCTCAGCAGGACCGAGCGCGCGAACGGGCTCCGGAAAGGGCTGCGGCTTCCAGAGGACAGGGCAGAGGCCAGCAAGGATGGCAAAACACCCCTCTTCCCCTTCTCCTCCCTAGAACCGAAGCAAGCCCAGAATCAAAGGCAGAGGAAGGAGCTGCGGGAGGGAAACTGGCTCCCTCTGACGCTGTCTGCACAGAGGTGCATTCAGACAGCTTGTTGGGCCGAGGCTGCCTGATCTGGGGGGGCCCCAGGAGTCCCCGCTGGGCGAGGCTGCTCTTAGAAGGCTGAGCGGGGGAGCTTTCCTGGGGGGCAGTCTCAGCTGGCCTTGGAATGAAGAGAGGTGGTTTTGGCCTGAGGCAGCTCCTGGTCTCGCCTTTGGGGTTTAGATGGAAAGCTGCCAGCCCCCCCGCCCCCCCCGCAAATGGGCAACCACCTCTTGGCAGCATTCATGCAAGCAGGTGAGGTCAAGAGCTAATGGGGGCTGAGGGTGGACAGCCTAACGGTCCCTGGGGGAAACCGCCCCCTCGAAAGAGTCTGCAGAGTTTGCGGCCCTGTCGCACCGGAAGGGTGCCTCCATCCACGCTGCCTGCAATCGCACAACGCTCCTAGCCAGGCTGGGACCCAGCAGCTCCCTTCATACAAGACACGCGGCTGGTTGCTGCTCACCGCAGCCTGGCCCTGAGCAGCTCAGAGGGTTGCATTCGCTCAGCTTCAGCCAGGGCCCCCCCATCCAGGCAGAGAAATTGGGGCAGCCGCAGAGGAAGGGCCAGCTGCTCAGCGCCCTACCTCTGGCCTCGGGGATCTGAATCTGGATGTATTTGTCTGAAAACTTGGTGAGGACGGGCAGCACAGTGTCACAGATTGTCTTCATCGCCGCGATCTGCTGCTCGGTTGTCCGGTTCTGCACCGCCGGCTGGAGCTCGGGGAGGCGGGAGTCCCAGCGGCTGGCCGGGAAGTTGAACTGGAAGAGCAGGTTGTTGTCCAGCGTCTGGGCCAGGCCGTAAAGCGGGGAGTCCTTCTGGCAAAAAAACACCTCGGAGAAGAGGTGCGAAGGCTGCTCTGGAGATGACAGAGAGGAGGAAGAGGAAGATGCAGACTGAGGACCTTCGCCCTGGCTGATTTGCACAGCCACAGAGGCAGCGCCCAGAGCCATCATGTGGTTGGCGCCCAAGGGGCTTACAAGAACCAGCCCCCGTGCCCAGGTCACCATGCACGACCACGTATCTGGCTCATTTAACCAACTGTGGTTCAGGGCTGCCCGCAGAGTGCGGACAAAGCCGTCGCGATGGTGCAGTCGAAGCTCTGCCACAGACACGGCGTGTGTAAAAAACAGGCAGGGCTTTGATCGTCCCGTTTTGGCTGCCATCTTGACTTTCCTGACCACTGCTGTGGTCGAGGGACCGTGGCTCAGTGCAGCGCGAGCACCTTCACCGGGCTGACAGTTCGGGAAAAGGTGTCGCAGCTGCAGGAGGGAACTGATTCCGCCTGACGTGCCGGCTGGGAGCAGCAGATCAGCCCCATGCAAGTCAAATAAATGCAGTACAAGAGAAGAGAAAAGTGGGCGGGGGGGGGGTGAGATTGACAGAATAGTACTGTAATATAAAAGCAGTGTTTAGTCTTAGTTGACTTGATCAGTTGTAATGTTTGATTGCACCAATCTTCTAGCACTATTTTTATGTCTCTTTATTATATCTCATCACACATTTTCTTAAAATTCGGCTCTGTGGCTCCAGAGCCCCCACCACATTCTCTCTGCCCCAATGGGCTGCCAGGCCCTGGAGACAGACAGACAGACAGACATATTTCTAAGGTGTGGCATTTGGGGCTCCAGCATGCATCAATCTTGGTGCCCCCAAATGGATTGGGGGAGGCTTGGCTTCCTGGCAGTTGCAGTCCCAACGCCTCTGAAAGGCGTGGGGTTGGGAAGGCCTGTCTGGGACCAAGTAAATTGTCTTGGAATCCACCCCCCATTTTCTGTCATTTAGCTGGGCCTCCACCCACCTGTCCCCCACGATGGCATTTTTCCTCTCTCGACTGAGGGCCTGGCGGGTGGGACAAAACCTCCCTCGGAAGGCTGCATTTACACAGCATCCTTTTCTGAGTTAACCCACCTTCTGGCTTTGCATAACACATGGAACTTACACTTGCTCCCCTCCCGCCCCTCTACAAGTTGCTCCCCTGGTCATCAGGCAGAGTTTTCCCCTGCTGGGTCTTCACCAACCCCGGGGCCAGATGCAGCCAGAGATCCCCAGAATGGCTGAAGCCGGGGGAAGGCTTTCTACCCCGGGAGAAAGAAATGGCGAAGCGCCTTCCGACGTGACCTTCTTGCCTGACGAAAACTCCCCGTTCCTTTCTTTAAAGCGAAAACGAAAGCTCGGTCGCTCCGCAATTCAGCCGAGGAGAAGTGGCGAGCGGGGGGCGAAGGCGACGTCCGAGATCCCTGCACGTAAGGGGGGACTCTGGGCTTCTGGGGGAAGGCAGGTCAGCAGCGGGAGGGCGTCCTGCTCCCCCCACGGCCCAGGTGCTCGAAGGCCTCTCCAAGGCAAACCTCGAAGCGGCAGGAGCAGGAGGAGAGCCGAAGGGCAGCCTGGCCCGGGGCCAACCGGGGGCCGCTCGCGGAAGCTGGGGCGAGGTTGCACGGTGGGGCGGA